GGCTATTTGAACACCAGGGTTTTGGAGACCCTCCAGCGTTCGTCTCATTATTTCATCGATCACGAAGTTAAAAAGGAATGGAGAGAGTGGGCATCCCTGACGGACACCGCTTTGTGTGCGGAAGCTTTTGGAGAGCAAAACTCTCCTCGCCTGTCATAGGACATACACACAAGCGTGACCGAACAGTTAAGTAAGTAGACCACTAGCCAGGATCTAGCGCGTTCGAGCTCCCTATAGTTCCGCGAGATGCGCACCGCTGATGATTCCCAACAAGAATGAAACAACTGCACAGTGCCCCTTGGGGCACTGTTTCACAGACATGACAAAATATCCATTGAAATTTCAAAATCCCCTCACACTACCAACAATCTACAAGTAGCTCAGAGGGAGAATAAAATGCGTCTGATGAGTAAAACCTACATCTGAGAAGTCGCCACCTGAGGAGCCAATCAACACGCCACTACGTGATGTGCACTCTGTAAGTGAAGGATACATGGTAGCATATCATGTCTAATTGTCGATCAGTCACGCTGCTGATTAGCCGCTCGTGGCCGAACAGTTAAGTGTTCAAACCACTGGCCAGCAGGTCGCGGGTTCAAGTCTCCCTGGAGTTTCGTGAAGCGCACTGGTGGTGATTCCCGAAAGGAATGAAACAGCTGTACAATGCTTTCCGAATTTTCAGCACAGACTGGCTTCAAATGCAGGACGAAATATCCATTACCAGCCGCTGTTTGTTCAGGTAGCTCGAATGCGTTTACTGGTGGTTGATCAGATGGCAGTTGATCTGTTCGCCGAGCTTGGGAATTGGCTTGCAAACGTTTCGTCCCCAGTCGAGGAGACATTGTCAGTGCGCACTGACGAAGATAAAGAAAATTCACCAGCGTTCTGTAATTCTTCAAGCTCGTGATTATCCGGTGTTTGAGGGATCCGCGTGAACCAGCACAGTCACTAGTTGCTGGTGTGGCTTCTCTGACAGCTATATGATCTGCTGATCTCGACAATATTCAGTGTTCATTTAATCGAGTCGGATGGCTTCGAGAAACGGTTCTGAAAGCTGACAGTATAGATTCTTTAACCCGCTTTCATTCAACCGCCAAGCAATCTTCGTCGTCCGCACAACTGTGCGCTTCAAGTGGCTTTCTAGCCAGATCAGCTCGATATTCCTTAGCTACTGAAACTTACAAAGCTGATGAATAGAACTCTCTACTTTGGCATGTGCAAAGCGAATTGACAACCGGGCTCGAACAACGACATGACTAAAGTAGAGTTGCGCAATCCAGAAGGGACGACAATCCTCAATTGAGGCCCTCCACTGTTAACTGATAGCCAACTGAGTCCATGACTATCTAGCAGTTGGCGGTCTCCAAGCAACTCGACGTGAGCGCGTGGGTCGAAAGTTTGTATACAACTCAAGCAACCGCTCCCCACTATCCGTAAGCTCAGAATCGACTCCAAATCTACCGCACAATTGTGCTCCTTCCGGACTCAGTCATCCAACCTGGGCATTCATACCACCGGCAAGGATTACCATAGCCGTCCTTCTTGCTGACAGAGAAGTCAAGACAGATATTGGTAAAAACCCGTTCTTCTCAGTCTCAGAAATGCTATTTGTTGAAGCGTATACCGATACAACAAACACCGTTTAGCGCATCGAACTGCATTGATCTTAATTGTGCCAGACAACCACACAGCACAAAGACTACTGTTTACTGGAATCCACTCCAGTAAGGCGCTTTCAGCTTCGGGCTGAGTGCAACTCTCACACCAAGGTTTCGGCAAGAGGTCCTGTTGCCCAATTCAACATACAGCATCAACAATAAAGACTGCAACATGGGTCAGATCTCTTGTGGTTAGTAAGTGGGAAACTGTTCAGACACGATACAATGGGTAGGGGAGTGGCAGATGGGTTGATCGTACTCCATCGTTCGATGGGTGGGTAGGGGAAGGCCAGTGGGTGAAAACGTGCAAAAGCGAATGATACTTCCCGGCTGCCTAAACCGAAAAAGTGGAGTTGGTTGAGGTACCCCACCTTGAGTCCTTGACCCAAAGGTCTGATCCATAAGACAAAGGAAGGATGTAGGGCTTTGTTCCTAGCCTGACTTAAAAGTCCGAACCGCGAGGAAGCAGCTATTACGCTTTTTGGAGCACCATTCGCGGAGTTAATAACTGAATGGTCTGAGCCGCTTGACTGCAAGGGGCCCACCTAGCCCAAGGACGCAGGAAATAAAGCATTAGTGTCTCACTCCTAATGCAACTGCGCACAGCAGCTGCCTATTGAGCAGCATCGGGGCCTCTGGTTTTAAAAGTATTTGAACTGTACTGAATGATGCGCTGGCAACCATGGTCAACTGTTGGGCGATCGGAGAGTGGGAGTTTCAGGACCGAGCGGGACGGCCCAAGTGGTTAGAGCGCGAATTTACCGACCGGAAGGTCCGTGATTCGAACCCCACCTCTGCCTTTTGACTTCCCCTGTCTAGGCTTGGGAAACCTGACAGTATCCAAGCCCTCATGCTTCCTTCTGGTGACATGGCAGTTAGGCATCGAAAAGGTGCCTTCCTTCCTCAGAGGAAGGTAGCATCGCTACTTCCATAAATATGGATATTCTGGTCGCCTGGGGGAAACGTTTTACTGCCTATCGCAGAGGACAGTACGACTTTACCTCCAGACCGCCTTGTAATTTTTTGACGAGATTACGGCAGTGAAGAATCTGACCAGATAAGCCCCAGGCCATCGCCAATCTATAGGTGTATTTTCTGGCGAACACATTGACAACCATATTTCAGCCGAAATGAGTGATCCGGGTATTCCTCACTTGGCTATTCATCCATTGGCGGAGTATCTTGAGTCCTGAAAATTGTGATAAAGTCGCAGTAGCCCATGAGCCTTTGTGGATTTCAAATCAAATATCTTAAAATTTGTTCACGAGGAGGGGCAAATTCATCATTTTTTGCTTTTTGGGTAGCGAAAATATACCATTCTCTACAGCGCATGTACCAGATGAATGCATGCTTGTGGGAATACAATGCACTGATATCGGTGTCGGATTGATGCAGTCCTAAAGGATTTGACAAGGTATTCTTCTGCTCTCCAAGACGATGCCTCTGAATAGAGGTGTCTCCGGAGAAGACAGATATTGCTCAGCCCCAAAATTACATGAATTACAGAGTGTTTCAAGAGAGGTACTCCGAGGAACACAGCCTCACAGAAAAGTGCATTTTACGCATGGGTGGGAATTCGATCACCCGATGATATACAAAGGATTGGGTTCCGGCAAATAATCTTTTTTTGAGTGCTCAACATGCCATCTGAAGCCAGCGAATCCACCACTCCGCAGAGAAAACACGTAAAATTTCAAGCACATGAAAAGTGGGTGATTATTTTGCTGTCATCTGTACTAGACAGAGCTCCGTACATCCCTGCATAGGACTGAACGTTCAACAAGAATGGGGCATTTCATCTCATTTGGTTGGTCTTGAACCGACATCCGGGAGAGATAGGCAAAGGCCTAACTGACTCCCAAAGTCATAACACGATTACAGGGGAGCATTGAAATAAATGAGTCCCAATCAGGTTATCGAATAAACATAGCTCACCCTATATCGTCCATCCACCATGCCTACGACTCCGATCGGTTCCGTAGGATTACGTTTCTGTACTACCTGAGCGGCACATTCGGCTGATTTATCCATACAAAACCCAATAAAGTATGTATCGGGCAGTTTGACCAAGATATTGTCCACGCAGTAAATCTGAACATATTCTACGCCGCGAGCGGCCATATCGTCCAGTATGTGGCGTTCGCGGAGCGCGTTGTACAACCCACCATTGCCATCTGCAATTAAAACCAAAGGGAAACAGTGGAGCTTAACTGAAATATATTTAATCAACAAAAGCGCTTTGGCTAGGTTAGAATGAGGGGATTTCTATGAGATAGCTAACGACAGCTTAAGAGTAACTTGCGTTCCATAGGATAGGTTATACCAACTGCTCCGTGCCTCATGCAACAGACTCAATCAGATAGTTCTGACAAACATCAAAATCATTTGTTTTGTGTTACCTAGAAACCATCGTGAACACTTGGTTGTGTGTGGGAAAAGCAGGGCTGATGTGTCCTTCCCCGAAAACTTTTGGTCGAGACATGCATCGAATGGTGATGCTAGAGCTGAGCTAGCCGAAAGTGTTCCCAGTCTCGAAAACCAATAAAAGACTAAAGGTTAGAAGTAGAACAGGTCATTATGAAAAGTTCTATCCATTTGACTACAACCGAATCAATTTCACCGTACAGAATTTGAAATACAGCAACTGTGGGGTTGATAAAACAAACGAAAATCAAACAAGCTAAACAACTTACCGGGTGCCATAGCCGGTTTGTACTTCTGGTCCATCAGGATTTTCCCATCAAATCCAATAGCGGGAAGTGTGAACTGTTCGAATAGAATGATGTTCTTTGGATCATGACCGAAGTAGTTGTGAGATTTGAAGAATGCCCTAGTCGTTTCCTCGGTGTGTTCTGAGGTCATTATATACCTTGAAAAAAAGGGACGAACGGGTGTGGAGCAAAAACCAAACACCAAGAAACAAATAAGCACTCTAACACTGGCTGTTTGTGTGGATAAAGTTTCACTACTACACTAGGAAAACTAACTTCTAAAACGGACGTAACGAAATCAGCACGTTATGTGGGGTTACGTGTACCGACCACCAGAGTGCAGAAAAACGTCCACCAAAAACAGCGAGCACGGTCAGGCAACAGTAGAACAAAGAACATCACAAATACTTGTTGGGTGGAAGGTCCTCATGTACATATGGAGGTGAAATAAGATAATACGTGGATCCCAGTTCGGTGTCTGATCAAAGTAGTGAGCTGGAAGGACCCAGACAAATACAGTAGGAATAAAAGTATCCGATCGATGACTGCGTTTTCCCGATTCTAAAGGCGCAAGACGTTCAAAAAGCTATCCACCAACAGAACAAGCTACTCCCAAAATACCTCCAAATTCTTCAAACTTTCTTCATCGAAACTGCACTAAGCATCCCAAAGGACGGGACAAACTCTTCTTTGGGGAACTGCGTTTTCACGGAACTCTACCAAATATGATAGCCCCATGCGGAGGTATACATTACTGGCAAAAGAACTTAAACAAATTTATGCGGCCGCCATAATGACTCATCTACATTCCTGTCGCTCACTTGCGTTTTGTCTGAAATTATGTAAGAGAAAAAGGAGATCCAGGACAGTCATTCGGTTTGGAAAAAGCAGAAGCTAGACAAGTTGGAGCTGTCACCTACTTAATCTGGCCTCGTACCCATCACATTAACCCCCTTAGCCCGTATTTAGACTCCCAGGATTCAAGCCATCATACGAAGACAGTATTCTGAAATGCAATGTTCAATCGTTCTCAGGTTTTCCATCGAGACTCCGCCAATCATTATGGAGAAGGAGAGAAGCACTGTACAGTTGCATCACCTTTTTGAATCACCAGCAGTGCGTATTTGACGAAACTCAAGGGGGTCTCGAACCCACGACCTCCCGGCGAGCAGCTTAAACACTTAACCGATCAGTCACAAGCAGCTGATCGGCCAGCTGAGTCGCAGCTAGAAAGGATATAGCGCCACACATTCTTCACTCACGGAATCTATGCCACGTGGTCACGTGTTGACTGGCTCCGTCGGTGATGACTTCAAATAGAAATCCGGCTCTTCTTGTGAAATTATTCTTCCTCCGAACTACTTAGAGATTTTTGATAGTGTGAGCAGACTTCGAAATTTTCAGGTATGAGTTAGTCGCGCCGCTGATCAGATGATCGCGTCCAAACAGTTGTGTTCAGACGACTAGCCAGACGTCGCGGGTTCGAAACTCCTTAGAGTTTCGCCAGATGCGCACTGCTGATGGTTTCCAATAGGGGTGCTTCCCGGCTTTTCCGGGCAGATTAGCTATCCCTACAAGACGAAAGCTCAATGGGAAATTTGCAAATCTCCTCACACTACCAACATCCTCAAGTTCCCCTTCACAAAACACCAATTCTAATGATTTACAAGCGTCTCGCCATTTGGCCTGTCGTTGATCCTTTGGCATGGTTCAACTTGACTAGCTAACTAAAAAACACGGCAGCTTGAGCACAAGGACGCATGTGTATGTCCTTGTTCCTGAACTGCGCAAAGTCTGACATTGTCACCGGGGTGGTCAGCAGAAAACCTGGAACGACGCCACCCGATACTGAAAATCTGAATCTATAGGCTCTCTACGGCCCACTCCAGAGAAAATAACATTGTGCTGATATCTGAGAGTCTTGCCACCAGCCGTTGTGCATGGATGGCTGTGATTCGAGACAACCGAAGGTCTGCCCCTCATCACACAGATGACCGAAGTAAAGTACTATTAAAACGGGTTGGCAGGATGTCGTGTACCGGTGGGAATCGCGCCGCTACAACTAGAACGGTTGGCACTCGTGCTGTTATGTAACTTTTTATAGACGTCAAGCACACTGAAACAGAAACCACTCTGAAGGGAAATCCAATAAATTCTGTCCACATGTTTTAGAGAGCTGCAACCAACTATACAACAAAACTCATACAGCGGTAAGGAACGCGATAAAAAAAACAAAGAACAAGAAACCATTTATTTGAAATCATATGAAACGCATATTTTTTAGATCTTTCAGGCTCCAAATGTGGTCATAAAAATCAACTAATATCTAGTGTTGGGTGCAGACAGTTGGTTCTTGACTTAACCCGAGAAGAGGAAACACCTCCAAAAGGAACAAAATATGATTTTTCCAACCGCTTCTGACTTGATACAGGCTGTTGTATAGACTCCACGACAGAATTATATGAATAACCTGTTTATCCAGAAAATGTTCAGTTATTCCACGCCAGGAACACTGAAAAGTGATCGCGAAAGATATTGTGATGAACTCCGTTATCCACTTCTGATGAGCTGCCGACTCAAGTTCCGTACAAGGGTCACTCAACAGGCATTGGAAAGATCAAGATATCTTCCAAATTTGTATCTGTCAAACGCAGTCTTGACAGTGGTCAAATTTTTATGATTAGTGTGGTTTCACAGAAGTTCATAAAGGCACAAAAACTAGTGTGAAAATATCAAGGTACTCATTGAAATGCATGGAAGGTAGGGTAGGCTGAAGTAAATACATGTCTATCACCCCGTCTAGACAGGAAAACCTACTCCAGCATGTCAGTCACCGTTGGTCAATTCTGTATGGCTACGACTAACTAAACCATGACAAATACTGACTTTCAAGTCTTCTTCTATTTTGAAATTATAATACTCAACCGGTACGCGAGTCTACTGGCGCTATGCTCTCACCCTCAGGTAATTCCGACGGAATACTGCTGCACGATAACAACTCGCACTGCAATTTCATAGTTGGTAGGATGGAGCTGACGGTATTGGTGGCTAAGGCACTAAATCTGCCCTCGACCAAGGACGCCATATAAACGACCACCCACCTTTGCTGACGATACCGAACTAAGTATAAAAGCACTTCCAAGGGCTCAACCTAGATCTGCGCCAATTCAATGCAAGGATAGGGGCGACATGTAACGCTATATCTGAAAATGGGTAAATTCCGTTCCATCAGGATTCTAATAGCATGAAAAAGGCTTCTATCGCGAATAGACAAACATCGACCGGTCTGACTCACTAACAAAACAAACAGTGCAGTAGATCTCAGAAGAGTAGCTAGACCATGGACGTTGAGGCTCAAAATCAAGCAAAAAATTGAAGGACGATGAGAGGCTATTTGCCTTGCCCAAACGATTATCGGTGTCACTGCAAGTTGTCATGTTAGGCACACAAAAACACAAGAACTGGAGTGTTGTTTACGTGGTTAGGTCCAAGCTGAAATGCACCGGATGGCATGACTTTGCTTTTTATTTCTAATTGATTTTTTGTTATTCACAAAAGTGGTTTACAAGGGTGGAAAGAATGCATTACCACTAATGAGCACTGGGTTGATTAAAAACAATAAAACCAAGGAAATCAAAAGATGTGCAATTACAGCGCAACTGTATGACACCATGAATGTCTGCGCATAGGATTTACAACCTGTTGTGAAACATTTGAAAAACATGAGAATCTACAAAAATAGAAGGTAAAAGAGAGTCTGACAGCGGGGTGGATTCAGGAATAAAATAGATATGTTCGGTAACGGGGGGCTCAAACGTGACATAGATAACCAAAATGTCGGTTCGACAATAGAACCAAATCGCGAATGGAAAGGAAGCGATGAGTCTAGTGGAGTACTGAACGCGTTAGTGGCAACAAACTAGCAAGAGAGGCGACACTCCAACAATGAAAACAGGTTCACAGGTCATCTGTTGAAGAAAGGAAGTCAACGAAACTCTCCATGGAATGCTGTCTAGAAATCACAGACATGGAAGAGCACCGCCCAAAACATTAAAGCAATATTCCTGAGTGGAAGATGAAAATATTTGCAAAAGCTAAAGAGACTACCTTTTCCAAAGACTCGAGCTGCAAAGGGGGAGTCTGAAAGGCAAGCAAATGGATCATTGGAGAAACGACTTAGAATCCGTAAAGGATGGAAGATCAATGAAAACAGAAAGGAGCATTGGCGGGTTCGGCATTTCGGATTCAGGAAGCACTAAACACGAATGTTCGTAATATCCAGGACTGAGGCTCTCCATCGGTCACTGATGTCTTGTAGTAGGTGGCCTCCAAGTAACTCGGTGTGTGCATTTGTGTTGGAAGTTCGTACTGGCCAGGAACAGGCGATGGTCTGCACACAACTGAAGAAGCAACTCTCCGTTATCCGTACGCCCAGCATCGACTCCAAATCGACCACAAAATTGTGCTTCTTCCAGACTTGGTCATTCAACTTAGCCATTCACATCACCCGCCAGGAGCACTATATCCGTCCTTCGTGCCGACCGAAGCAGTCGTGACAGATTTTGATTGAACTCGTCCTTCTCAGTCTCAGAACTGCTATCTGTTGGGGCGTATGCTGGTACAATAAGCAGACATCGTTTACCAGATCGACCTGCGTTAATCCTAATTGAGCCAGACAACCGCACCGCGCAAGGGCGACTGTTTACTGGGTTCCACTCCAGTAAGGCGCTTACAGCCTTGGGGCTGAGTGCAATCCCACACCGTAAATACCACGAGCCATTGCGTCAGGATTACCGGATGCCCGAAGAGTGAAATGTGGAACATCTAGGTTCATCCTAATCGGCTAGAGGAGTAAGACCGAAGTGGGATCTTGTATGCGTGTTTCGGAGACACAACATACATCGATAGAGAGGGAAAGTAAGATTTCAGCAAGTGATGCTGATGCCTAATTTGGCATACAGTACGGACATCGAACGCTGCAAAGTGGATCAGATCTTTTGAGGTAAGAATATTATTATTTTAGTTTATTTTCCGGGTGATGGTTGAGGTACAGAACAGTGGTTAGGGAATAGGTAGATGGGTTGATTGCACTGCATTGTATGATGGGTGGGGAGGAAATGGAGGGAAGGCCGGTCAGCGAAGAGCTGCAAGGGCAAATGATACCTCCCGGTTGCCCAGGAAGGGGGCTTAATCGAGGTACCTCACCTTGAGCCTTTAACTGAAGTCTGACCCGCAAGCGTGGATGTGGAGATGCTTGAAGGATGGGATGTTCGGGAGCCCTGCCCTAGCCTCTGACTCAAAACTCTGGACCTCGAGACAGCGGTTGTTATGGTTTTCTTGGGGGACCCTTCCTGGAGCCAACGACTCAGTAGTGTGACCTTCTTGGCTGTTGGGGGCCAGATTGGCCCGAGGGCGCAGGGAGTAGGGAATTACTGACTCACTCCTGATGCGGCTGCGCACAGCAGGTGCCGTTTGAGCAGCATCGGGCTCTTTATTTCTAAAAGCATTTCGACCGTATTGAATAATGTGCCGGCGGTCAAGGTCAACCGTTGGGCGATCGGAGTGTGCGGGGCTTTGGGCCGAACTTTTATAACCCATCCTTTTTAGGGGGGGGACAGCTTTCAGGGACTGAGTTCCAGCTAGTACAGCCCGACCAACACAACAAGGTGACAGCTTTAGGTCGAGAGACAAAGAGGATATGAGTATGGGCCCAACCTATCTCCCTTCACAAAACAGACACAATAGTGCAAGGGGGATTCGAAATGTGCAAGCATGCCGTGGCCCGATATTTGTGTTTCGGTGAGGAGAAACAATAGAAGAAATTATAAGGGGTGATGGATAGAGTCAATGCCACTTTTCAAATCATGAATGCCACAAAGCAAGACTTCGATTTTGGAAACAAAAGCGAGGTATTATTTATTATTAGTCCTGTGGCTCCATTTTTGTTTTGTGGTTGACAGACCGACGTCCCATCCAAGGGCTTGGAATGGTGGACTACTCCCACAGTTGCGCGGTGATACCTCCTAGGACGGCACCAATAGCCACGGATCACCCGCAAGTGACCTACTGCTTGCGCCTGCAGCTGGGCAAATTTGACACTCACACGGAAACCAGTCATTTTTGCTCAATCCACCGTCAGCCTGAGACTAAAAACGGGAGTAGTCATATTATTTCGCCACGGCCCTCCTTAGCTTCCAAGCTTTGAAGGTGATCGAAATAATTGCATACTGTGGTTCAGCGATGTAGAATTACAGTAAGCCAAATGAAGTCAAGCTGTAGGCACCCAAAGGTGAAGTATTATCACACAAATTCACAACAGTATTACACTCGTGATAAAATACTTCAGTACATGTCTGAAAAATTCGCCTATAATATCCACCAGTAAAAGCTTCACAAACGTGGACCAGACAGAAGTTATTACATAAGGCAGTGGGAGTAACTAGGAAACAGTAAAGTTTTGTACTTCAGGCAAGTGCACGAGGTAGAGCTGACTCTGGTGAGAGGCATGAAGACGGGAGGAATCCGTTCGGTGAAGTCAGAATAGCCACTATAACCAGAAAGAAGTTCTAGTGACCTGATAATGAGGTATTAGTCCTACTCAGAAAAAGATATGGGAACAATTAACCCAGAGGAGGAGAATACAAGCGTTAAAAAACCTGTGAACATGATTGAGAGAAACAGGAAGCGTCCTCCATGTCACAGCATGAAAAGCTAGATATCGAACCATGTGAAAGACTGCTACGATGTGACAGACCAACTGGGATCACTTGAGGAGATCATCCCTTGATAAAACAGAGCAGAAAAAGAAGGAAGCTGAAAGCAATCATGGGTTGATGGCAATTAAGTAGCCTATTGTGAAGTCAACAGGTGAGGAAAAGGAAAACATTTTGGTATTCTAGAACTTAAGGGCGAGCGTTAATCGAATTAGCTAATACCTTCATTTAGCACAATTTGTAGCCGCCAATTTGCGCCAGGCGCCTATCGCTATGTGATCAGCCTATTTTAAATAAGTGAGAAAATCAGAGGGCATGTCTCTTATGCAAAAAAAGTAAAAATAGCACCCTGGGGGACACCATCGTTAATCAGCAATAAAGGAGATATGCAGCGGCCGACCGCATGAACCATGCACGATTAAGGAGTATGAGGTGGTCCAGTGTAAGCTTGAAAAAAATTAACTTGAAAGTTGAAAAGCGACGCCAGTTTGAAAACCCCACTGACCGCAGAAATCACACCCGGAAAACGTGGCAAAAATTTCCCGCAGTCAAGCAAACGCGGTATAGTAAACAGTCCAAAACCACTAACCATGGAATGGAGGCCGTTGAACCAAATTTAGCGCGGGCGAGTCGAACAACACGGAGAATGTGTTCCGCCTGGATCTGATAGAGAGAACGACCAGATGGTAGGTTTGGACAGAACAACCCTTTCGGTAAAGGCGACCCTAATCGCGTGCCCTGACCACCAGCCAACAAAAGAATGGCAACCTTGCCCTCATGTACAGCTTGTAGGGCTGAAACGAACGCATGAATGTAAAAAGATCGTCCTTTTAAAAACAGCATACCGTTCATATGGTATTTGTCCAAAACAAGCGGATCGGTTGATCGCAGATATGATAAGCAGCCGCATATTTTTTCATCTGGAGGAAGCAAGCGATTCTCAAAATTGACCGCCACCTTTCCTCGCGCCTGCGATTAGATGACAAAGGTAAAGTCGATTAGAACAGATAAATCTGATGGGTCTAATGTTTAAGAAGCAAACTGAGAATAAGACATCGATGTGTGATTCGTCTTCCTTTGGAATTAGAGTCAGCCTGCGGCGATAAGCTAAGACGAGTTAACCACAAGTTCGATAAACTGATACAAATTGGTGTCAGCACCTTCGCCTATAAAGTTTCCTCAAGAACTGTCCCCCTTTCAGAAGGTTTGCCAGACCCTTCTGAAAAGACAACCTCTCAGTCGGTCCCACACCTTCTGCAATCGATTGAAAACTGTCCCCCTTGTTAAAATTACCCACAGTATAAGTCTTACGAACTAAGGGAACTGGGTCTTCAGTAGGGGGACCAACATTACCGCTGAGCTATGAATAGCTCGTCAAAGTTGCGATTGGCCTGCAAGCAACAGCCACACCCTAGTTCAGCTGATTCGATTAGCCGGCCAAAAGAAGGCAGGTGTCGGTCAAACAATAAGCGAAGAAGACGGAACCGCAATTCACCACCTCAATCGTCGTCCTGAGCGATGAGCTGAGTGCTTTAAACAGTTCACCTGGAAAAACCCGGTGCGCGTCAGCTGGAAATCGACACAGGCCCGCCTTCGACAACAGATAACTAATGTGAGATATCACACCTTCAACGCGAGAAGACTCCCGTACCCTGAACTTTTAAAAGGCGGCGAGTTCCTTGTGACGAGCATACTGCAGATTTGGAAGGAAAACAGAATAGAGGTCAAATAGAGCTCGCTGACCATCATCCAAGTTTCAGGAAGGGCTTAAAAAGTCATGCGAAAACCATCGTGGCATCACTCTTGTATCCTTCGAATCTAGGGTGCTCTCTGGCACTATTCTGCGCGGGCTGGTCGATTATCGGGAGAGAAACTGGCGAGAATCGAGCAGGGTTTTCCCTATTCGGGGGTGCATCCACCAAATCTTTACCTTAATATATTCTTGAACAGCTCCACTTATTGAAACTTCCCACACTGGTTGTTCTTCTTGACAAGATATCAGCTTTCGAATCTGTCAATGGTCAGAAAATGTGACGGTATCTTGCAATGAAAGGTATCCCTCCGAAATCTATATCCCTTATGAAGCCACTGTGTGCGAACTCCTGTTGACGCCTACAAGCATATGGCAAATTTACACCTGAGTTAATCGTCATGGCGTAGGATATGGCTGCCCTCTCTTAGCTTTCCTCTTTAACTTTGCTATCGATGTGTTGCCTGCCTGCCTCCGAAACCTCGGGGGTCGAAATGCTCTCCGGATGGTCACTCACAGACACCGAGCATGGGGACAATATTGCTCTCCTTGGCTCATATCCTTCAAAAACGTAAACCATTTCAAATAGCCCAGATAACTCTGCCAAACGGTTCGGCATTCGCTTCACACCTGCAAAGTTCTTACAAGACTGAGTGGAATCAGACCTTAACCAACCCTAGCCGACCGAAGTGGTAGGTAGATTCATTTATCTGGGCAGCTGTATAAGTTTCGGCAGACTAGCTAGAGATGAAATAGTTTCTCGAATCGGGAAAGCCAAGGCAGCTTTCACCAGTCTCCGATACCCATAGCGCCAAATTGACGTGAGTTTCCCCAACAAAGGCAGAGTTTACACTGCACGGTGCGATCCTTACTGCTTTATGGATCGGAGACGTGTCCTCTGCGCGCAGAGGACATACGAATGTGTTTGACCATTGATGTCTCCGAAGTATCAGTAGGGTCTGGTGGGGACATTCGACTAGTAATTCTGAGGCACACCACGTGTTCCTAGGAAGAAGAAACTCTCATACGATAGATAAACTACTTACGCTTCATAGGTTTCGCTGGTTAGGACATGTACTCCAAATGCCAAAAGGCTGTCTGGCTTGCAGAGCTCATTTCGCCCAGCCTTGTGCTGAATGAAAGCGACCGAGAGGTGGACAGTGCATGAACTGACAACGAAATATGAAAACACTAACTAGTGAACTGAGTCGGATGGATAACTGCCGCCTCTGCTCCAGGGCTCAACTCACCAATGGTTAGCGATATTGGTGGAAATGGTCCAATCGCGCAGTCAGTTATCGCATTTAATCCATAGCTACCCTGTTCTCTAATTAATTTAACATATCATCGACTCAAAGGCTGTTTGTCCCCCACCCCACCATTTTCCGATGATCGGAACTGCAGCAGCTGGAACCAAGGTGCCTATGGTGCACGGCTTACTGCTGTTGAATTGAGTTGGTTGGTTGGTCAGGGTATTACAGCTGAAAGATTATTTATTATTATTTATTATTATTTTTTATCATTATTAATGCACCAATTCCTAATGTTAGACTGCTATAAACTGTTATTCTACTCGAGTTATGCGCTATTGGAATGCAGTACTCCGCGCCCTGATCTGCATTTTTTCGGTGGAAGCTTTTACATTCCACTTGGAACACTCGATTGAACCCTCCCTGCTTACACAGAACCAATTACTCTCCAGTCCCATCCGTGACCATAAAGGCACGCGATCGTAAACCAGAACCGCTCCCCGGCACGTGTAAATCAGTATGGCATAGAAAAGCAATCAGGAGTCAGCAGTGCGTTGTTTGGAATACGAGCTCGGGAGAACAACCGAAATCATATTGAAACTGATTGAGACCTGTTCCTTGTGATTTGCTATGTGACTGAGGCAATCCTAGAATTTATCCCGACCAAACGGGGCGTATCCTCTTCTCGAATAAGGAAGCCTTCAAGCCACTTGGCCAGATTACTTGTAAATAGAGACGACTATAGTCGTTTCTATTTCTTCACCAATTAGGAAGAAGGACCACTACTCATTTTTCACCCCATGGGCCGAATTTTTAGCTCAAGCTCGTCCAAAGCCCCGCAGTAACTTCGGGTGAGATAACCACCACAGACTCACGAGGAACGCCGCAAATGTGGGTTGCTTTATCTCCCTACTAATCGGTCTCGGGGGCGCACAGTTCCCTCCCCTAAGCAAGCTAATTAGGTGCTTTCCCGCGTACACAGGACTTTATAGAATTTCATATGAGAGCTATACGCTCTGTCTAGACGCCCAAGTCGAGCAAATAATAAAGTTAGGTGAGATATACCTTAGTTAACTCGGCAACTCTTCCGAAGTTAATGTCACGCGCGCTTCGCAAAAGTATTCCCCGTTCTTTTTCATCCAATTCATTCCAAAATGCGAAGATGTGCCCCTGGCCGGAGTTTTTCGCCGACTCAAAGAAGTCGCGGTAATCACACATATCGATGACAACCTTGAAACCAACGCAGCGCCCTGCCAACGTCCAAGGTCATCGGAGCTTGGCAGGCCAGTTAACAAGTTCAGTAAGGTTGTTCTCTGCTGGGAATCTATCAGTGGCCAGGCTTGTACCAGACTTCAGGTCAACGGGGCTGAAAATTGATACCATAGTTATACCAAACCCGTCAGTTTACGTTAGTGGGTGGGTAACTCCAATGGAAATGAGAAGTCTCTTAGGCTGAACCACCGTAGGTGATGTGGCACTGGGTGAGGCATTCATTATATAAGGGTAAAATGGTGTGGAATCGGAAACGAAACAGGTCTGGTTTATGCGTTACTTAAGAAGGATGAACACGAAGTTTTGTGAACAAAACGGATGCTCTTTACGGCTCCGCACTGAACACATCCAAGCATATGTTACCTCTTTTCTGGCAGTACAGCTGCACTCTAATTCTGGGTGTTTTCGACCCGACGGAGAATCAAAAGGATATATGTAACGCATGTGTTTCGGCGTCCTACAAGTGCACCTAAAATGCAAGTCTTCGAGAAGGATATGACTACTGCTCATACAGTCGGGAAATTTCCCTCGACCATAGGCAGGAGCAGTGTTAGGTGCCGACGGGGATTACCTGCAGCGGACCAGATGCCTGGAGTGTAAAGCGTGATCATTCTCGTTCGAGCGTAAGAAAATTGCTGCGTTTTGAAGACTGATTAGCTTTCGTATCTCCGGATTATGGTTGATTGACGGGAATTTTGGTGCCATTCTAGAAATTTATGGAAGTAAGTTAAATTCGTCAACCCGAGTGATGTCCTGCTTGGTTGCAGAACCGTAAAGTATCCCAGAATGGCCTGTGTGGCCCTTCAGCTTTAGATATAGTTGCGAGCAATGGTAAGAGACAAGTCAATCCCACAAAAAGTGAGTAGCATCAGCAACCAATCTCGTCCATCAAGGTCTAGGATAAACCAAAGAAGTTAGAAAAACTTTGGGACTAAAGTGGATATTAAAGATCCAAAAGAACGCGTGCAGTCGCCTTTGAACAGCAAATGTCACTTCGTCACTGCCGAGCTTGTCAGATCGTTGAAGATTATATTCCATGGTGTTTTGCCCGCAGATTCACAGATCGACAGTAAGGCTGAAACACTTGAGCTTACCTGGTCAGGTATGCTCCCGCGTTCTGTGACTTGAAGCAGCCCGGAAGAAGTAAATTGAAGAATGTTACAGTTCCGCCAGCCGAATGATTCTTACTAAACATTTAACAAACAATTGTGTAGCCGCAAGTGGCTATTTTACACAGCAGTTATTCGGAGAAAGTTGTTGTCCAATACGAACGCAAGGCCTCATGATAACAAACCTTGCGCGTTCCCGCTATGCAATAATCAGGTCAGTAGTGAAGAATGCACCGGTGAAATTGTGCGCAAACAAGACGTTATTATATATAAGGGCCCCCCGGTGGCAACAATAATCGAAAAGATTCGAGTGCACTCAACGTCTTTGCAACATCTCCTTGGCCCGATTCAAAGTGTTTAGGTTCTTCTTGCGTACTGCATGCACGGTTGGGTTGAATGTCTCAAAACGTCGTGGAATGTAGACTCCTCGCGTCTTTTGTGAGTTTATAAGGGTAACTCGTGTGTTAGAATATTCAAAAACAGACAGATGAATATTTGGCGGAGTTTTTGCGGTAAAGCGAAAATCGAAAATATTAGGCGGGTCAGGTATCAGCTTCCGTGTGTTTCCCAGCTCCGTATTGTCCTCTGTTCCATTTTTCCTACGCATTTAAATAACATTTATACAGTCCCATCTTAATGCCACGTAGGCACCTCTTGTCATTCAGAAAAAACTTATTGGTGCTTTGCGACATTGATATTCGCTCGACACAGGCAGACGTTCGTCTGGAAGATCGTAGACGAAACCAAGGAGTGCTCTCTGGACAAAATCACGAAATCATAATAATAACAAAAACAATAATAATAATATTCATTCCCAACTGGTGGGTAGCATACCGTCAGGCATGATCATAGTATTACAGTCAGAGTAAGAGAATATATGATGGAGGTTGTAACTAACGGGAATTTCCTGGAAAAGGGACAGCGACGTAACCAGTGGGCATTAACAAAGTAGGCTTCATCACACGTGAGGTGGCATGAATAGGGACCCGAAACTAAAAGGGCTCTTCATCTCCTATGGAGAACATATCAGAAGACACAAGATCTGATCGTTAGGATTTAAAAGTAGCGGGAAAAAACAATACGAGTGAGGGCATAACAAAAACCGCCTGAAACGTGACAAAGAAACTCCAAACTGCAGCAAGCGTGGAGTCAGAATGATGGATCTAGTGAGGCAGCAGAACGGCCAGGACATGGCCGGACAATTCGGACCAAAGTACAAAACCGTCGCTAGGGCTCCATGTCCATGGGCTGTCAGGCGTATGGCCACGGAAAGCATATGTGGGGATGGTGAAGTGGGCTAATATGCAATATGGATAAATGGTAGTAGGAAACTCAGAATTAGGGCTCCACATGGGCTGTCAGGCGTATGGCCACGGAAAGCATATGTGGGGATGGTGAAGTGGGCTAATATGCAATATGGATAAATGGTTGGTAGAAACTCAGAATCACAGTGTGCTGGAAAACTTAAACGACTCACTAGTATTGCGGCTGGAGTAGGTCCGATTGTAAAAGTTACTTGGGAGAACGTGTTCATGCAAACTGTACGAAAATTGACCGACTTGCCGAGGAGTACGAATAGAAATCGCCGAGATCTTTACATCCGACAGAAGGTTCGGCAGATTGCAACGAACGCCCCCCGGTGGTGGCTGGTCACAAATGAAGACTGATTGTGGTTGCCGGTTGCCGGGAACGAGTGGGCGAGAGGGAGCGGTCAAAGTAGGAAGCGAACAATTGCGGGTATGCTATCAAACTGGGTATCACAGTGCCGTTCCGCCACTGCGCTGAAATACTTCGGTTTTTGGACAGCCCCGTGACGGACTTCGTGATTGAGGTAGTTAGGCTGAGATGCTCAGTCCTGTGATCTCGCGCGTTTGCCGGGAGGTTTCTCAGGGTAAACAAAACAAATGTAATATCGCGCGTATTATTCGTTGTTGTTGTTGTTGTCGTTGTTGTTGTTGTTTAAAGACCAGGGTCAGAACCACCGGAGATCGGCGATGCACACGTGCTAGGAGTGGTTGGTATACCAACACACCAAGGAGCGACACTCCTTGCGGGGCTTAACGATCCACCACACGGTGATCATCCCTTCTGCATGCTACCAGATCTGCAAGGTGGAAACCCATCCAGGCAGCTATAAGTGCGGCTTTTGCATTAAAAGCCCAAGTCGAGCAAATAATAAAGTTAGGTGAGATATACCTTAGTTAACTCGGCAACTCTTCCGAAGTTAATGTCACGCGCGCTTCGCAAAAGTATTCCCCGTTCTTTTTCATCCAATTCATTCCAAAATGCGAAGATGTGCCCCTGGCCGGAGTTTTTCGCCGACTCAAAGAAGTCGCGGTAATCACACATATCGATGACAACCTTGAAACCAACGCAGCGCCCTGCCAACGTCCAAGGTCATCGGAGCTTGGCAGGCCAGTTAACAAGTTCAGTAAGGTTGTTCTCTGCTGGGAATCTATCAGTGGCCAGGCTTGTACCAGACTTCAGGTCAACGGGGCTGAAAATTGATACCATAGTTATACCAAACCCGTCAGTTTACGTTAGTGGGTGGGTAACTCCAATGGAAATGAGAAGTCTCTTAGGCTGAACCACCGTAGGTGATGTGGCACTGGGTGAGGCATTCATTATATAAGGGTAAAATGGTGTGGAATCGGAAACGAAACAGGTCTGGTTTATGCGTTACTTAAGAAGGATGAACACGAAGTTTTGTGAACAAAACGGATGCTCTTTACGGCTCCGCACTGAACACATCCAAGCATATGTTACCTCTTTTCTGGCAGTACAGCTGCACTCTAATTCTGGGTGTTTTCGACCCGACGGAGAATCAAAAGGATATATGTAACGCATGTGTTTCGGCGTCCTACAAGTGCACCTAAAATGCAAGTCTTCGAGAAGGATATGACTACTGCTCATACAGTCGGGAAATTTCCCTCGACCATAGGCAGGAGCAGTGTTAGGTGCCGACGGGGATTACCTGCAGCGGACCAGATGCCTGGAGTGTAAAGCGTGATCATTCTCGTTCGAGCGTAAGAAAATTGCTGCGTTTTGAAGACTGATTAGCTTTCGTATCTCCGGATTATGGTTGATTGACGGGAATTTTGGTGCCATTCTAGAAATTTATGGAAGTAAGTTAAATTCGTCAACCCGAGTGATGTCCTGCTTGGTTGCAGAACCGTAAAGTATCCCAGAATGGCCTGTGTGGCCCTTCAGCTTTATGTATAGTTGCGAGCAATGGTAAGAGACAAGTCAATCCCACAAAAAGTGAGTAGCATCAGCAACCAATCTCGTCCATCAAGGTCTAGGATAAACCAAAGGAGTTAGAAAAACTTTGGGACTAAAGTGGATATTAAAGATCCAAAAGAACGCGTGCAGTCGCCTTTGAACAGCAAATGTCACTTCGTCACTGCCGAGCTTGTCAGATCGTTGAAGATTATATTCCATGGTGTTTTGCCCGCAGATTCACAGATCGACAGTAAGGCTGAAACACTTGAGCTTACCTGGTCAGGTATGCTCCCGCGTTCTGTGACTTGAAGCAGCCCGGAAGAAGTAAATTGAAGAATGTTACAGTTCTGCCAGCCGAATGATTCTTACTAAACATTTAACAAACAATTGTGTAGCCGCAAGTGGCTATTTTACACAGCAGTTATTCGGAGAAAGTTGTTGTCCAATACGAACGCAAGGCCTCATGATAACAAACCTTGCGCGTTCCCGCTATGCAATAATCAGGTCAGTAGTGAAGAATGCACCGGTGAAATTGTGCGCAAACAAGACGTTATTATATATAAGGGCCCCCCGGTGGCAACAATAATCGAAAAGATTCGAGTGCACTCAACGTCTTTGCAACATCTCCTTGGCCCGATTCAAAGTGTTTAGGTTCTTCTTGCGTACTGCATGCACGGTTGGGTTGAATGTCTCAAAACGTCGTGGAATGTAGACTCCTCGCGTCTTTTGTGAGTTTATAAGGGTAACTCGTGTGTTAGAATATTCAAAAACAGACAGATGAATATTTGGCGGAGTTTTTGCGGTAAAGCGAAAATCGAAAATATTAGGCGGGTCAGGTATCAGCTTCCGTGTGTTTCCCAGCTCCGTATTGTCCTCTGTTCCATTTTTCCTACGCATTTAAATAACATTTATACAGTCCCATCTTAATGCCACGTAGGCACCTCTTGTCATTCAGAAAAAACTTATTGGTGCTTTGCGACATTGATATTCGCTCGACACAGGCAGACGTTCGTCTGGAAGATCGTAGACGAAACCAAGGAGTGCTCTCTGGACAAAATCACGAAATCATAATAATAACAAAAACAATAATAATAATATTCATTCCCAACTGGTGGGTAGCATACCGTCAGGCATGATCATAGTATTACAGTCAGAGTAAGAGAATATATGATGGAGGTTGTAACTAACGGGAATTTCCTGGAAAAGGGACAGCGACGTAACCAGTGGGCATTAACAAAGTAGGCTTCATCACACGTGAGGTGGCATGAATAGGGACCCGAAACTAAAAGGGCTCTTCATCTCCTATGGAGAACATATCAGAAGACACAAGATCTGATCGTTACGATTTAAAAGTAGCGGGAAAAAACAATACGAGTGAGGGCATAACAAAAACCGCCTGAAACTTGACAAAGAAACTCCAAACTGCAGCAAGCGTGGAGTCAGAATGATGGATCTAGTGAGGCAGCAGAACGGCCAGGACATGGCCGGCCAATTCGGACCAAAGTACAAAACCGTCGCTAGGGCTCCATGTCCATGGGCTGTCAGGCGTATGGCCACGGAAAGCATATGTGGGGATGGTGAAGTGGGCTAATATGCAATATGGATAAATGGTAGTAGGAAACTCAGAATCACAGTGTGCTGGAAAACTTAAACGACTCACTAGTATTGCGGCTGGAGTAGGTCCGATTGTAAAAGTTACTTGGGAGAACGAGTTCATGCAAACTGTACGAAAATTGACCGACTTGCCGAGGAGTACGAATAGAAATCGCCGAGATCTTTACATCCGACAGAAGGTTCGGCAGATTGCAACGAACGCCCCCCGGTGGTGGCTGGTCACAAATGAAGACTGATTGTGGTTGCCGGTTGCCGGGAACGAGTGGGCGAGAGGGAGCGGTCAAAGTAGGAAGCGAACAATTGCGGGTATGCTATCAAACTGGGTATCACAGTGCCGTTCCGCCACTGCGCTGAAATACTTCGGTTTTTGGACAGCCCCGTGACGGACTTCGTGATTGAGGTAGTTAGGCTGAGATGCTCAGTCCTGTGATCTCGCGCGTTTGCCGGGAGGTTTCTCAGGGTAAACAAAACAAATGTAATATCGCGCGTATTATTCGTTGTTGTTGTTGTCGTTGTTGTTGTTGTTTAAAGACCAGGGTCAGAACCACCGGAGATCGGCGATGCACACGTGCTAGGAGTGGTTGGTATACCAACACACCAAGGAGCGACACTCCTTGCGGGGCTTAACGATCCACCACACGGTGATCATCCCTTCTGCATGCTACCAGATCTGCAAGGTGGAAACCCATCCAGGCAGCTATAAGTGCGGCTTTTGCATTAAAATGTACTCCAGCAAGGCCAGTGAAAACAGCTCGGCAAATTTAAACAAGCGAACAATAAACAGACGCTAGGAGAAGCAGGTCGCGGAGGAGGCAGTAAAATGACAGTTGCAAATCAGACAGTGGGGACGGAATGGTGATATTCAGGGCGAGTGCACTATAGCTAAACGGCGACTGATCGTTGGTGTGGGCTACCATGTCAGATAGAAGCGTATCGCGATGTTGCGTGTGTGAGTGCTTAGTGAGCTGTGGAGCAAATCGTCATACGTTTTTGATGTACATTTGATGATACATCGTAGTATAATTTGCTGTAGTAGTGAGAAAAAGCTGATTTTGGTTTCGCTTTTGTCAGTTAGAGTTAAGCCAACAGCACTGGTCACTAGACATAGCTGGTAGAGTAATCCAGGGCAGGGATTTGACTAGAACGATGTATTAGTTGGTTGGGGAAAAAGATAAACAGCCAGGCCGGTAACACGACATACATAGATCAAGTAAGCGTTTAAGTGCTAAGTGGCTTGAAGTAAGGAAGATATGATAGCTGGATCTTTTACATGCCTACTAACATTATCGTCGCTATACTGGACCCAATTTATATAGGAGGTCGGGGGTAGCTGGGTTTTAAGTAGGACGGCAGCAGTTTCACAGGTAAGGAATTTGTCGACGGACTGAGGAAGAGTATAATGATGCGCGATGCTTCGCGGCTGCTCAGGAAGGCTGTTCCAGACGCCAGCGTAGTAAACATGAAACAAGTAGTGGCTTATGTTTGTACAAGCTGGGAGGGACAATAAAAGGCTTCCGGAGTTGCGGAATTGGTAGCGAGAACGTGAGCTTACGTTTGCTCCAGCCTCTGCTATAAAGGCATTTTTGTACAGCAGGCGGTGTAGGAGAGTTAGGTTCATCTTTATCCGTCTGAGCCACAGTGGCTCGAGGCCCAGGGCTTGAAAGCGAGATCGGTAATAGGGAGGGTTTGACCGGGGGGACAGCTTTTTTGTAAATGAGCGTTGGATGCTTTCAAGTGCGAGCCTACAACTTTGGGTATAAAAGGAGGAGAATACGGCACAGAATTCTACGATTGGTCGTACGTATAGCTTAAAAGGGGAAAGGCTGCGCAGTAATTAAAAAATGAGCCGGCGTGCTCGGGCAACCTGGTACTGCACCTTGTGGGAAATGTTAAACGTACAGGAGTATCTGAGGCCAAGATCATTGATATCCGTGGAATGAATGATTGGATTTCCATTTATTGTGGAAGCATCGGCCGGGAGGGAGCAGTGGCAGGAAGTTATGCAGGATTTCATTGAGGCGAAGCTTAGGCCGGAGTCGTTCGATCAGCGAGTCAGTGAGTCTCAGCCCAGCTAGATCTGGTGAAAGGTAACGGCTCGTGCAGATGGCGAAAATGTGTACACAATTTTTATATCGTCCGCGAAGAGGAAGACTTTACCCTGGGATATGGCACCGATAACGCCGCTGATATACAGTAAGAAGAAGACGGAGCCTAGCACGCTTCCTTGGATGACTCCACTGGTGATCGATGGTGAAGAAGATTGTATTTCCCCAATTTGTGTTAACTGAGTCCTGTCGGCTAGGTAGAAGGCGAACCACTGAAATAAGGTTCCAGTGATGCCAACGGTACTGAGTTTATACGGAAGTGATGCGTGGGGACCCGGTCAAAGGCCTTTTGAATATCCAGGTGAACTGTTACAGTGGAGTATCCAGCGACGTAGGCTTCCTTGATGGTCTCGAAGAAGTAAAGCTGGCAGCCACTAACGGATCATTGAGTCAGGAAACCATACTGCCGGCCATTTATGGCATTAGTTGTCAGTAGGAACC